TCAAAAATTGGCAAGGTATAAATAAATATGTAGTAATTTATATTTTGTGTAAAAATCATGTTTTTGGAACATTTTGGCCCAAAATTTAGCAAAATTTTTTTGATTTTGTCAAAATAACGTTTTTAACAAAAATAAAGTTTTTAAGTCATTTTACTTACAAAAGAGTAGAATAATCATAACCAAGTTGTAAATAAATAAGTGATGGTTTCTATTTTGTGTAAAAAACGTGTTTTTGAAACATTTTTGCACAATATTTTGGCAAAAAATTAAATTTTTTTGGGAAAAAACTTAATTTTTTAGAAAAAAATTGCAAAAAAATGGTTTCTGAGTTATTTTACTTATAAAATATTTTCAAAAAATTGGTAAGGTATTAATAAATAAGTAATAATTTTTATTTTGTGTAAAAAAACATGTTTTTGGAACATGTTGGCCAAAAATTTAGCAACATTTTTTTGATTTTGCACAAAAATCGTTGATTTTTGATTATTTTTAACAAAAATAAAGTTTTTAAGTCATTTTACCTACAAAAAAAGTAGAATAATCATAACCAAGTTATAAATAAACAAATGATTGTTTTTATTTTGTGTAAAAAAACGTGTTTTTGGAACGTTTTATCAAATTTTTTGCAAAAAAAGCAAATTTTTGAATAATTTCCACATAAAACTAACTTTAAAAGTTATTTTACTTATAAAACTGGCTACAATATTGACCAGGTTTTCCGACCCATTTCTCCCCCGTGCCGTGGGTTGTTAAAAAAGCTCCTGAAACGATCTCAAAACCGCCCATCTAGTCGATCCTCTTCGAACATCTAAAATTGCGCACATAAGTTGTGTCAACAGTCATCGAGACACGCCATAACTGCGCATCGCTGCCATCTCAGCAAACAGAAGAAAAACAAAAACCTGCACACACACATACAATGTTGGAAATAAAAGTTTTCCACTTTTATTGTTATCGCTACTCGTGCTAGTCGCGCTGAGAACTGAAAAGATATTGGCATCCGAGGCTACTTTCATTGTTCATCTTTTGCAACGACACGCAACACGCATAACATCCGTACACATTCCGCATCATTGAAACAAGAACAAGTTGCGAGACGACAAATGTACGTACATTATAAAACAGAAAAGTTTCTTGTGTTTATTTTTTCCGGCCGCTGTTTCTAAATAAATACGTGAGTAAAGTTACAAAACATGTTTTAGAAACAACGAAAAGTTCATTATTTTTGCTGCAAAAATAAAAACCGCTGATGAAATTGTAAAAAAAAATACTTGTAAAGTAAAATATTATACTATGATATTCCATGTCAGATAAATATTATGTCCGCATGAAATTTATTATCGCAATTTATCTCGACTTTGCGCAGCGAAAATTTGCTAGTGAAAAATTCCCAACCGCAGAAATTTTATATTTCCACGTCAATATACATTCAATGATTACTACCCGCAAGTTTTCTTTTGGTTTTATTGAATAGTTTTAGAATGTTTAGCGATGTAGCGTCGGAGAGAAAAAAATAACACAGCGATCGAGTCGAAGGCGAAGCTTTTGTACTTCTGTTTGGTTATGTGGCGTTTTTGGCGCTGCCGGGATACATTTAGTCGGCGAACGCAGATAAGCAATGGAGTCATATTAGGAGATATCGTCGAAATGTATTGCGCCAAATCTATTGGAAGAGAATTTCCGAAGCAAATTCACGTCGACGTCGGAGCGAGAACTCGCGCTTCAATATTTTAGCTCTTTTGTACTGCTGCATTCCGTTTGTATTGGTCATTGGATTCTTATGAACAAAAAAAATAAACAGAATAGAACAAAAGCTCTTAGAAATTGATTTCTGTTACGAACAATGCGCGAATAATCAATAACTAAAAGGCGCCTCCACCAAAAATGAAACAAGTGCGCACAGTTGAACAGCCACTTGGGAAATGAGCGCATACATAAATCATTTTCCACATACAATAGAGATCACCAAATGCAAATATGTCAAAAGTCTTTTGTTTGTTTAATATAGTTTTATTTTATTTTTATTCAATCACAACTCTTTTCTTCCTCTAGAGATTATCGTTTTTTTCTTTTTTACTTTTTTCAAAAAATGATAAATACACAAAATATTGACAAAAAATATTTTGGGAAAAAACTTAATTTTTTAGAAAAAAAAATGCCATAAATTGGTTTTTGAATTATTTTACTTACAAAATATTTTAAAAAATTTGGTAAGGTATAAATAAATATGTAATAATTTATATTTTGTGTAAAAATCATGTTTTTGGAACATGTTGGCAAAAAAATTAGCAAATTTTTTTTGATTTTGCTAAACATACGTTGATTTTTGATTATTTTTAACAAAAATAAAGTTTGTAAGTCATTTTACCTACAAAAAAGTAGAATAATCATAACCAAGTTATAAATAAATAAGTGATGGTCTTTATTTTGTGTAAAAAACGGTTTTTGGAACATTTTTGCACAAAATTTTGGCAAAAAATGAAATTTTTTAGTGAAAAAACCTAATTTTTTAGAAAAAAAATGCAAAAAAATGGTTTTTGAGTTATTGTACTTATAAAATATTTTAAAAAATTTGGTAAGGTATAAATAAATATGGAATAATTTATATTTTGTGTAAAAATCATGTTTTTGGAACATGTTGGCAAAAAAATTAGCAAAATTTTTTTGATTTTGCCAAAAAAACGTTGATTTTTTGATTATTTTTAACAAAAATAAAGTTTTAAGTCATTTTACTTACAAAAAAGTAGAATAATCATAACCAAGTTATAAATAAATAAGTGATGGTTTTTATTTGGTATAAAAAGCGTGATTTTTTAGAATTTTAGCAAAAAATTTTGCAAAAAACACAAATTTTCGAATAATCACCTAATGCAAATATGTCAAAAGTCATTTGTTTGTTTAATATAGTTTTATTTTATTTTTATTCAATCACAACTCTTTTTCCTCCTCTAGAGATTATCGTTTTTTCTTTTTTACTTTTTTCAAAAGATGATAAACTATCTGAAAGCTCGCGGGTTTCATCCTTCGCATGAATATTTAAGTATAGAGCCTCTTCTAAGCCGGAAGGAGCTTTTTGTTATACGCATGGAACGCAGGCTAAACACGTCCCGGCCATATCTTGTTCAATCTTCGAGCGCAGCGTCTATATTTATAAAACTTATAAACACTGGACCCTCGGGGGCAATTCCGGGCGCGCTCGTCTTCGATGCAATTCGCGCGCGGGACAATAAAAGTGCGACGCGCGCGTTGTTACAGCCGGCACTAGATCAAAATAGAATAGATATTGCCTTCACACGGGCTTCGAAACCATTGAGTAGTGTTATTATTCCCAAAAGACGCAAAAAAAGTTGAGTTTAACTACCTAAAATATATAAAAATCAAAAAATTTCCAAAACCGGAAAACCGGAAGTGGAATATTTTTAACCGGGAACGTGGAATTTGGGTGTTTTTAGATAATTTGTCGTACTTGGTAGATTTTTTTTGTTTATTACTCTCGCACTATCGCAGGGAAAATTATGGCCGAGCTTTATTTGCACACTGATTAATCGTTGCGAATTTTTAACGGCCTGGGCACCATTCCGTTGATTGCCAGTGGGTAAATAGTGAGAAGCGACCACAACACGACCACCGCGAGCTTTCGGGCTTTTCGAAGTGCGCGCCGCGTTAATTTCCATTCATTTAAAGTTTGAACATTAATTAACGATTGCGACGAGCGGCCGTATTTATGACAATTGTGCATTTAACTTTCGACATGGAGTTACATTCATCGGCATTAAACTTTAGAGTGGAGCTTCACCATTACCGAAATTACAATTTCCTGGGCGTTTCCGAAACTTTGCGTTCCGACTGAAACCCGATCGAACACTATCCTGGACGTTTTCATTCGATCCGCATCGACAAGTATCAACTTTCGTTGTTTGAATACTCTATGAATATAAATAAACCATATAATTAACTTTTCCGGTAAACCGGAAAACCGGAAAACCGGAAGATATGTATAGTAATCCACCAATATTTTTTGTTGAGTTTTTTTCCTGTTAAAAAAAAACACAAACGTCAAAAAATATTTTTAGTTTATTAATCCTTGTTTAAATTTTTTTGTGTGCATCAAAAAACCTCATCGATAAAAGCTCATGATGAAAAATTGCACAATCTCGTAAACAGATTTTACGGCCCATTGTCTGACACAACATGGCATGAAATCATAACATGTTTACGCGCCAGGATAAATAAATACAACAAAAGCACGAACCTACAACACCAAGATGAGCCATTTAGTTATATAACGGTAGTTATGCCGGATAAAAGAGGATACAAAAAGGATTAAACCGGAAAAAAGCAAGAGAGCTTTAATTAAACGATTCGCAATCATAAAACGGACTTGTTCGATGGCAGGAACGATAAAATAAAATGGATATGCGTTATCCTTGAGATATCCTGGAGATAAAATAAAACTTTTATAACGTGGTTTCATCGCGCGCGAGTTCAATTCATGCCCGAATTATGACGTAAAATTTTAATACGGAAATTACTCGATATATACACTTACTCGAGTGGTAGTTGAATTTTATATCCAATTTGATCAAATTTTAGTCATTACGTAATGAATTAGAGAGCGAATTTGAATGCAAATCAGTGACACGGTGCGTGAGTGAAGGAGAAAGCTCACAAAGCTGAGGATATTATTCAGCTGGTTGTGAAATTAACGCTACAGCACCGGACGTGACCACAAAGGACCTGAGTGCCTAGACTTGCTAGATGTAGCCGCCCCCCAAACAATCACTCGTCGTATTCAAGCTTTAATATATTATCATCAAATGAAAAGCATTCCTAAGGTCGTAATGATGTCGATGATATTAGTAAAACAACACAAACAATACCAGCACGTAAACATGCTGGAAAGGATAATTAAGGTTATGTTTGTACTGCGATGTCGGTGATTAATTAATTTACTTACTTGTAATTAACTGTTTTTTTTTTGTTTTTGATTTTGGTTGTAGGTTTCATGGGTGAGGCATCGAGATATTCATTTACTGACAGTGGGAAGATATACTTACACTTCCGATCAGCGATTTGAAGCGATTCACTCGCCGCATACTGAAGAGTGGACGCTGCGCATCCGCTATCCTCAGCGGAAGGACACCGGGATTTACGAGTGTCAGATTAGCACGACGCCACCGATAGGCACACCCGTCCATTTGACTGTTGTCGGTTAGTAAAAAATATTTGCTTAAAATGTATTTTTTGCAATTTTTTTTTTTATTTTGCTAAAAATTTTGCAAAATTTTTTTTTTCATTTTTAAAAACGATGAAAATTATACTAATATTTTTCAAATTACCATTTTCCTATTCTAGGTTAGTAAATATAACCTAAAAATATGTTTTTTACAATTTTTTCCCAAAAAATAATTTTTTTTTTGCAAATTTTTATTTTTTTTCGAAAAATTGTTTTTTCTTAGCAAAAAATGTTTTTTCACTTATTTAAAACGTTATTTCCGGTTAAGAAAAGTGGCTTCCTTTAAAATCATTTGCAGAAATATTTGTTTTTTGCAATTTATTTTAATTTTTCGCAAAAATTTTGCAAAAAAAAAAAATTATTTTTAAAAACGTTGAAAATTTGACAAATATTTATATGTTTATATTTTCTTATTTTAGGTTAGTTAATATAACCTAAAATATGTTTTTTACAATTTTTTCCCAAAAAATATTTTTTTTTTTTCAAATTTTTCTTTTTTTTTCCCAAAAATTGTTTTTTGCCAAAAAATGTTTTTCCACTTATATAAAACGTTATTTCCGGTTAAGAAAAATATCTTCCTTTAAAATCCTTTGCAGAAATATTTGTTTTTTGCAATTTTTTTTTTAATTTTTCGCAAAAATTTTGCAAAAAAAAAAATTATTTTTAAAAACGTTGAAAATTTGACAAATATTTATATGTTTATATTTTCTTATTTTAGGTTAGTAAATATAACCTAAAAATATGTTTTTTTACAATTTTTTCCTAAAAAAGAATTTTTTTGCAAATTTTTCAATTTTTTCCCCAAAAATTGTTTTTTGGAAAAAAATGTTTTTCCACTGATTTAAAACGTTGTTTCCGGTTAGCAGAAGTATGTTCTTTCAAAATCCTTTGCAGAAATATTTGTTTTTTGCAATTCTTTAAAGCTCCATAAACTAAAACACATAAACAAGCACCTACGTTGGCGAAAACCTCATAAAACCACCCCTATTCTCTTACACTGTAGGTAATATGGCCGCAATCAAGCGGAGAAACAAATAAACCCATTTTTTCCGGTTTTCCGGTTTAGTTTACCAATTAAGTTTACAGTTTACGTTTTTGTTGCCTTGTATTCGTCCGGAGGTCGCGTTGAGCTTTTCGCACGCGAAAGATTAATAAATTGAAGCATTGTGCTCGCGTTGCGCTCTGCTCTCGCTTCTTTTCTTCATTAAGCGTGATTCATCGTTTATTTTCCGCGCGATGGCTCCGGTTGCAATATGTTCGCAAAGCGCGAGCTTTTAGCGTTGTGTCGCAAAGCTTCCACGCAAAGCACGCGCGTATTTGTAACTTAACAAAACCGCACTCGGCAAACACAACACTCGGTTTGGAAAAATAAATTTCCGCGCGCGCGATTTATCTCCCGCCGAGTCTACCTAATGCGGAAAGCTTGTCCGGGCTTTTTTTCGACTTTCAAAATGCATTAATGCGACTCGTTAACCACCAGCGATTAATCATTTAACAACAAATTATCATATCCAAACGACACCTTTAAAAATCTATATGTAATATATGCTAATCCCGGCGCCTCCACATAATCTAAACTTGTAATAATTTTCTGCTCGAAAAGAAAACAGATAAAAGTAAAATATTTCCGGAAATGGCTTTAATGTGTTTTTATTTATGAGATCATAATTAAAGAGAGCGGGTGCACTTCGTTTTCGCGCCCTGCGGACGATTCGAGAAAAATTCCGGTGTCGTAAATTAAAAGTTGCGCCGTAAACTTGCCGCCTCCAGCATAATTAAAACTGAATTAGTTACGTTCCACTAAAGTCTAATAAAGCTGAAGCTTGCGCTGGGTAAGGCACATCTACTTCTTTTTTTTTTGCTTTTTTCTGCACCTGATATTATTTGCTGCTATATTTGAGATAAAAACAATTTTTAATAAAAATTCTTGCAAAAATTTTACGAGCGCGTTAAACTTTTTATATTTTGTTAAATCAACATCTCAGGCAGATATTATCGGTCGAGTATTCGGTGGAGCACGGATGTGCTCTAATGTAATCCTGAAAGAGTCACCACATCCTTCCGGAGTGCATTCGGGTCGTCGTCACACGATTTTCAACTATTTTCAAATGGTGTTGGAAACGCTCTCCTGAGTTCGGATTCGATTAGCTCGCGTTAAATGATTTTCTATGTCGGACCAGTATTAGACTTAATGTGTCAGCAACTATATACAAAGTGATCAAATTGTATTTTCAAAAAAATAAAAATTTCACTTTGAATTACATTTCCGGGTGTGTGCTTGTACTCGTATGTTGAAGATATTGGGTATTCTGTTAACGTCCGGGTTCCTAACGTCATCAAGACGAATAGAACTGGATAACGAATTAGATGCGGACGTCGGAGTCCCATTCTGTATTCTACGAGAATGGGCGTTCATTAATTCACTCTGGTGGTTAAGACGACAACTTGTTATACACGCACATGTATTTTCCGGTTTTCCGGTTTGCACTTCCGGTTTTCCGGTTTGTAAAATTTGTGTTTTTTTGTGTCTAGAACCAATAACAGAAATCCTTGGAGGTCCTGACCTGTTCATCAACTTGGGCTCGACGATCAATCTGACGTGCCTGGTGAAGTACGCCCCCGAACCACCGCCGACGATGATGTGGTCACATAATTCGGTAGCGATCAATTTCGATTCGCCACGCGGTGGTATCAGCCTGGTGACGGAAAAGGGCCCGGTAACCACCAGCCGCCTGCTCATCCAGAAAGCAGCCCAGGGTGATTCCGGGCTTTACACCTGCTTGCCCACCAACGCCAATGCGTACAATGTACGCGTGCACATCCTCAACGGTGAGCATTTTTAATTAAAACTAAAACAAAAAACGCAGCGAGTTTAAATTAATTTAAAGAAGAAAACGTTGAAACTTTTTTGCGACTTGGAACAATAGCAGGCAATTACTTGAATTCTATTTCGTACTTTTCATCTTTGCTCGCTTTGATATCGCATAATGAGCAAATAAAATAAACGGAAAGTTATTTTCTTGCTTTCAACATGCCAAACAGACAATAAACCACATTACGAGCAACGCGCAACGAGCTAATAATTATTTTACAACAAAGACAACAAAAGCCAACAAAATGGCAGAATGAATGTTTTCGAGGCAAGACTCTCTACCCCAAAGGGGCGGCTCAAATACCAAATGATACAATTGGGACACAGAAACAACGAATACCTCTTTGTTACGCCATTAAATATTCGAATATATTCGTTGTTTTTGTCAAGAGTTGTAATAACATTCAATATTTGTCACTGCAACAACTAAAAATTCATTTTCCAACTCGGATATTTTTATTTAATTCCAAGTTCATTTCAATATATTTCATTGGAAATATATTCAATAAAATTTTATTATACACTTGAATAATGTCGACCGAAAAATCAAATTTAAAAAAAAAATTTCACAAAAAATTGTACCTTTGATTTTTTTAAATATTTTTTATGGATATTTTTATATTTTAGATTATAACAAACAAAATAAAAAAAAATCATGAAAATCGGTCCAGCGGTTGTCGAGTTATGCAAGTTGCCAAAAATTTTTGCTAAATTATTGATTTTTTCCATTTAGGCGAACACCCCGCAGCGATGCATCATGGAAGGGGTTGCTGGTCGACAGAACCACACATGTTGATCCTCATCAGCCTACTATTACTCCTGATACGTCAAACAACGTAGCACAAACACTTCTAAACAGCGAGTGAAAAACTCAAAATGATAAAAATTTTATAAAACGGCGATTAATCTAACCACTTAAGACAAAATTTAACCGGATTCATCATTTCGCAAACCAGTTCATGTTTATATGTTACAACTAAGACATATATCAAAGCATTAATAAATTAATTAATCAATAAACTAACGTAGGATAACACTAACACGCTAATAATCCGTAAAAGTAACGATTTTTTTCTATTTTCGAATAAAACACAAGTGAAAACACAGACATTGGACAAAACAACAAATAAATTACATTATAATAGAATTAAAGACTAAGTGAAATTTGAATAATAATAACGTATAAGAATAATAATAATATTAATAAAAAATATATCTAAAAATAATTCGTTAAATTACGATGACAACAAACAGAATTAAATTCTATTTTTGTTTATAATATTTACAGTTTATAAAAATGATGAAGGTATAATTAATACACGCGTCGTGCAAATGTGACACTGATGGATGAATGTGAAAATTTGTTGATGAAAATTCTCGTTGTACATATCAATGAATAAACAACTTTAATAACTAATTATGTCATCATCTAATTTCGTTATCATTTTGTACATATAATACCGGTGAAAAACAAACGACTTCCGGTTTTCCGGTTTCTGGAAAAACATCTAATTTTGTTTTAAAAATATGTATCAGTAAAGGGACGTAAATAACAACGCATATCTCTTGGAATATTTTGAGAATTTGTGTTAATTAAGATTGTTGTTAAATAATATATTTTTATGAACGTAAATTTGTACAAAAGGAAAAATATGTGTGTAAAGAGTGTGTTGAGCGTGGCAAACAAAAGTGTTGTTTGTTATGATTGTAAAATTTATTTATAATTAATAATAATATCGAATAACTGAATACTGAGTATATGCAGGTGTATAATGTTGTTATTATCAGGGCTTTCTATGCGCGGCGTAAACAACAATGTAAATTTTGGTTTTCCGGATGTGAAATTTAATTTTGTTTTGTCGATTCGGCGAAATTAATCTACCGGCGGCAATATAGAAAATTAAAATTCATAATTTTAGTTTGTGAATTACAATATTAATTGTAAAAGTGACAAAAGGTAAGTGTACTTCGTTTAATTAATATTTTAAATATTAATAGGATATTTTAATTTGGTGCAAGTGTAATTTTCATGTTTTTTTTTTTTGCAAAAAAATCTTTTTGTATGCTTGTTTCTTTGTGAATGTCTTAATGTTGTGATTTAGCTCATTATTCTATTTATATTTATGCGTATTATTTGCAAGGTCGGATAAAAAGATCGCTCCGATGTGCGCCGCTTTATTTTATTCTTTTCTTTGTGTAGCACGACGCTTTTTACTTCGATGCAATAGAAAGCAAACAAGCCGTCTCGAAATGTTTGCACAGCATTTTGGCAAAACGCGAAGTGCTGGACGTTATTGTGTTTCTGTTTTCCACGCCGTCGTTCTCACGTGCCGAGCACAACGATAAAGAGATTTTTTTCCACATAGCAACATCATCAGTATCAGGTCAGTGAGAAAATTTATTTTTTTCGGAAAAAAATGCGAAAAAATTTGTTTTCGTGCCAAAAACACAAAAATTTGAAATTTTTTATAAACTTTAAGAAAAAATGTTATTAGGAGATAGTATATTACCGAACATAATTATAAAAAAATTTTAAAAATAATTTATTTTATTTTTTTCTAAAAAAATTTTGCATAAAAATTTGTTTTCTTGCCAAAAACGCAAAAATTTTGCATTTTTTTATAAAATTTAAGGAAAAAAGGTAATAAGTGATAATATATTGCCAAACATAATGATAAAATGATCAAAAAAATAATTTTTTATTTTTTTTCGTAAAAGTTTTGAAAAAAACGTGTTTATTTTGCCAAAAAAGTAAAATTTCAGAATTTTTTAATAAAATTTTCAAAAAAAATATTTGGTAACATTCCCAATGATAAACAGGTCAAAAAGATAATTTATTTTATTTTTTTCTAAAAACATATAGCAAAAAAGCATGTTCTATTGCCAAAAATGTAAAATTTTATTTTATGTTGTGGTAAAATATTTTTGTTTGTCACGTCGTAAAAGCGACTAAAATACTAAAACAGAATGCGAAATTAGTTTGCGCCATATGCCTCCTGCGGAATGAAACATGAGCACGCGCGAAGGAATTGTCCTCCTTATCCTTGGAATGTCCTGAAGCTCAAAACTCTCTTTACTCGCGCGCAGCGTCACTAAATATTCGAAAGCATAAAAATAATTTATACAGAAACTTTTAACGGCCTGGCACGAGTTACAGTCACTGTAACCCTCCACTTCCGGGCGTTGCTATACAAGAAGAGAACGCGACAAATAAATTGCTTTAATTAATAAATTAAAAATTATCCACCGAGTTATATAACTTTTTACGACACTCCAACAACTTGATGCTTAAAATATCAGTAACGAGATTTTATTCCTTTGTATCTTTTTTTTTCTTTTTCACTTCGTGGCGACAATGTGACAAGAAAGCAAGAAACGAAACGAAATGCCATAGACAGGCAAAGGTAAAACTTGTAATAGAAAAGCAAAAGCAGCTTGCAGGGATTTTTAATTGAGTTTCTTTATTGCGAGTCGGTCGCAGATGAGACTGAAAGGTGTGCTGCGGCGCAATTGAGACGCTGGTTGCCACCACCACCAACACCGTCGCCGCCCCCGACGTCAATACCATCTTGAACGGCGCTCGTTTTCAACAAAACGATAAGAAGAAACGCGCCACATAGTCGAACAAAGCTTTTGAAACTCTTTTTTTTTCTTAGCTTTTACATTGTCTAAAACTTTTTATCCGGACTAATTATTTCTTTTATTTTAAATTAATACAATTGTGGAGAAGTTTTGAATGTAAAAAAGCGACAAAATGTGACTTGTTATAATTTTCACACATATGTGTTAATGGAAGTTGGAATAAACGTCGACGCGCTCACAATTCGATGTGATTTATGCGAAAATAGTTCACGCCCGCCCGCAAATTGCATGTAGTGTGGAAATAGTGAAATAGTAGACGCGCCCGGCATTGATTGCCGAGCATACTGAGTCCTGAAACGCCGAAAATAGCGAAACTGAGCTATTGTTTCGCGTTATGTAAGACCGTAAGTTTTGACTAAAATTTCAAAAAAAAATTAAAAAAATGTATTTTTAAGAAATTTGCACAAAAAAGATATTTGTTTATAATAAAAATAAAATATTTACACAATAATAATTTTATTTTACATTGGAAAATTCCGACCAGAAGTTTGAAATTTTTTTCATAGAGTCTTACGTGTGGAGGCGCCGGGCAAAATGTTTTTACCCATATGCATTACTCATAACTCCACACCCACTTCAGATTTATATTTCTCCATCTTTCCTCCTCACTAGTTCCAACGGTAAATCAAGATCCATTTCGGATAAACCGCTTTAATTACACATTCATCGTGCTTGTTTACTGGTGGCGCGCAAAGTAATTTTAAATTTTGATGGAGATTAAGCGACTTATAAGCTTAAACATAAGCATAATACCGTCAAAGAGGGGCGGCGATTACGGCGGTCGCCGAGAACCTCAGAGATAAGAGAATCAAGAGGGCGACGTTTAATATACTAAAACTAACCTACAAAACATTTTCCCCGCGCTGCTAAGGTTAAGTGTAAGTCATAAAACTAGAACTTTGGCTAATGTTAAAATATTAACTTTCGCGTTGTTTTTTGTGTGATTACGCTTGTAAAAATATTGTTTTAGCTGATGTGATGTATCATGCATGAAGTCGTTGACACGCAGAATACGTCGGCGTTAAATTTCAACTCGGAGGCACTTTGGAAAATTAACAAGCGCGCATGGCGCATCATTGAGGTTTTCGCACTTTTCGTGCTCATTCAACTCGCGTTACGCCCGCTACTAACTACGTATATTATCATAACATAAGTTTACTCCACTTTTGTCGCTGCGCGTGGCTCGAGCGAAGAATAAGCTCGGCGCGATGGACGAGAAAAGTTCGGGCTGTACGTGTCGCCTTTTGTGCGCGCAGGCAAAGTTTGCAGCCAGACTTGCAGCGGAATGTGGGAATGGAAGCCGGTTGGTTTTATACATTATCGCTTGGCGTCACTGCGCGGAGTTGAAACAATAAAAAGCGTCGCGGTAGTGTTTTAGAAAAGCTGCAAAATGGTAAATTAGAAATTCACTCCTTTTTCTTTTGCGATAAGAAAAAGTTTATGTTGTTGAAATTCTGATTAAATTTCCGAGAGCTTTACGGAGCTTTTATTAAAACAAGTCATTGGAAAAGTTTCTGCAATTGAAACATTGAAACATTTAGTTTTGGCGTGTGCTACGCTTACGAAGAAGCGAAAATCAAGAGTGACTAATTGAGCTTTTCTGCTTTTAAACTTTTAAATTAAAGACGTAAAAAATTGCGGAAATATAACTATTTTCCGGTCACTTCCGGTTTCGTAAAAAAAACTTCAATATTTATTTCTACTTGCATTTTAAACTAAATTAGCAAACTTTTCCGGTTTTCCGGTTTCATATTTACCACTAAAACAATAAATAAAAATTTCCCAGCAACTAAATGAATTTTCCGTTTCTAACTTTTAAATTAAACCAGAATAAATAATATTTCCGGTTTTGATTTTTTTTCTTCTTTTATGAAAAATAAAGTTAAGCAAAAATCGACGTTGTGCTTGGAGTATTATAAGGTGTCGCAATGTTGAATGACAAGCAGTCGAAACTTTTCACACACTATATCTACATCCAGCAACCCGGAAAGCTAAAATACATCCGTATTCAGTGCGCTAGGTGGAAATCGAGTGAAGTGTGTGAAGTGCGGAGTGTCGAGCGTCGAGAACTTGGGAAATGAGAAAACGCGCAAACATTATTCAAAATATTTTCCACGGACGCGTCTAAACCGGATGTGAATGCACCGGCATTGACATCATCCGAGACGTGCTAATAACTGCCGACTGAAAAGCTCAAAAACTTTCCCAGCAATGACTTGTCAGTTAAATCAAACTAAAAAATTCAAAACTACATCCATTCATTTATTTATGTATTTTTTATTTATTTAGAAATGTTGATACGAAAGCTCTATTAAGATGTGTAAGTCGATACTGTTTTGTTTAGTGTTCTGTATTCCGTTCTGTTTGATGGTCGTTCGGATGGCTCTGGCACTGACGTTGTTCTCGATTTACTTTCGAGCACGCAAACCCCGGCGTGTACGTGATTCGAGTACTAATGAGGGGTGAGAGTCCCATCGCATCCGATGCTCATCATCGCTCGTTGTGCTCGTGCGGTCATCACGGCATCGTCCACTCGCGCATATTCAGCGAATACAAAACCGCTAAACACAAAATCGTGTATAAATGACTACTTTTCCGGTCACTTCCGGTTTTTCAAATGCTTCATTACTTCGCTTTTATTTACTCCAGCATCAATTTTATACGTTTTTCCGGTTTTCCGGTTTTTGGAAATTTTTTGTTTCCATATAACCAGTTGAATAGAGTCTATGAGAAGATGTAGATAGGAGGTTTATGTAAATAGATTCCAGGACGTAG